CACCTTATTGTGGTGGAGGAGTTTGTGCACCTGAATGATCCTAGGAGCTATGCTTTCAGGACCTGGTAGGGTCTCCCAAGGCATATTGGTCCTAGGTGACAGGCCAGACAATGAGTGATTCAGAAGATTTTTATGGACAGGATAAAACAAGGAAGTCTGTGTCTCTTGCCCGGATGTTTTTTACTGGGGCCCCACCCTGGAGCCAGGCCTGGGGGAGGGGCCTGTCGGCGAGTGCCTGGTGACTGGGTCTCCACCCATGGGACCTGGTCAGGCTCAGCCCAAAGGAGCAGCATGGGTTTGCCTTCCTGTGGACCCACCACCTGCAGGAAGGGCCATTAAAATCAGGTGCATGATGCCATTAACAGTGGCCAAAGGCAGGGACATTGGCGCTCTGGCCCTGGCTTACCAAATCTGGCTCTTTGGACTTGGAATTTAACCTCTCTGGCGGGGATGGAGCTTGAGCTTGTGTGCAAGATTGAGAGGTACCGGCACTCACCTTGACACACAGCATGGGCTCTGGAACCAATCTTCTTGAGAGGGGCTCCATGAGTATGGGATTGGGGTCCCGTTGTTATGGGCTGTTCAGTCCCTATATAAGTGGTGCGAGAGTTTGGTTCGCATTGCCTGTAGTAAGTTGGACCCCTTCATGTGGGAGTTGGACTCCACCAGGGCTGCCGGTTGTCACTGATTCTGTTCATAACTTTTATGGACAGAATTTCTCGGTGCAGCCAGGGGGCAGAGGGTTTCTGGTTCAGTGGCCTCAGGATTCCATCTATGCTCTTTGCAGATGATCGGGTCCTGTTGGTGTCATTGTGCTGTGATCTTCAGCTCTCACTAGAGCGATTCTCAGCTGAATGTGAAGCGGCTGGGATCAGAATCAGAACCTCCAAATCTGAGGCCATGGTCCTGAACAGGAGAAGGGTGGATTGCTCTCTTGGGGTTGAGGTGAGGTTCTGCCTCAAGTGGAGGAGTTCAAGTATCTCGGGGTTTTCTTCACGAGTGAGAGAAGAATGGAGTATGAGATTGACAGATGGATTGGTGCAGCATCTGCAGTATTGCGGACTGTATTGATCCAATGTGGTGAAGAGAGAGCTGAGCTGTAAGGCAAAGCTCACTGTTTACCGGTCGGTCTACATTCCTACCCTCACCTATGGTCAAAAACTCTGGGTAGTGACTGAAAGAATGAGATTGCGGATACAGGCGGTTGAAATGAGTTTCCTCCGCAGGGTAGTTTGACTCTCCCTTAGAGATAGGGTGAGAATACTGATTACTGAACTTCTCACCCCATCTCTAAAGGAGAGTCCAGCTACCCTGTGGAGGAAACATTTCAACCACCTGTATCTGCAATCTAATTCTTTCGGTCACTACCCAGAGCTCATAACTATAGGTGATGGTAGGAACATAGACTGTCCAGTAAACAGAGAGCTTTGCCTTACAGCTCAGATCCCTCTTCACTACAATGGACTGTTACAGAGTCCGCAATACTGCAGATGCTGCACCCAGAGTGCTGACATTCTTTTGCTGGAAATCACTCCTGAAACTTTTCTACATCCACTCCATCCTGCCTGGACTCTCTTTCTCACATCGTTACCATATTCCCCATATTCCTGGACAGTGGACCCCAAGTACTTGAAGTCCTACACCTTTGTGACCTCTGCTCCTTGTAGCTCCATTGTTCCACCAGCCTCCCTCTCATTCACACATGTACTCTGTCTTACTACAGCTTCCTTTCAAGTGCATACCTCCACCTCTCCAAGTTATCTTCCACCTGTTCCCTGTTCTCACCACAGATCAATGTCATCTACAAATATAGTCTATGGGGATTCCTGCCTGACCTCATCTGTTAGTCGGTCCATCACCAGAGCAAACAAGAAGGGGCAAAGAGCCTATCCTTGATTGCAATCCCACCTCCACCTTGAAGCTATTTGTCACTATTACACAACATCTCACCACTGTCCTGCAGTCCTCATACATGTCCTGTACCAGCTAACATGCATCTCTACAACTCCAGATTTCCTTGTACAACACAGCTCCATCCTCAGCACCCTGTCATGTGTCAAGCATTACATGTTTTAAGTATTACTGAAACATTACAAAATGGATTTTCAGGTATTTCCTGGCAACAGTAATGCAAACAGTGTGGTCCAGCACAAACTCCAGCACCCTGCGATTGCTCGATACGTCCTTCTGATTCCTCTGGACTGGAATCCAAATGGTCAGATTGGACTCAGGCTGGAGGTTTTTGGATGTCCTTACAGTGAGTTTGATCTTTTTTGACATTTATGCACAATATGACAGTAGTTTAACCTCATGCATCAGGTTACTTTTGTTTTAAAAAGGTGGAACATGTTTGATGTTTATTCACAGTTCAGTTACTTGAAATTATTTTGAAAATCAAAAAGCTGTTTCATTTCATTTTGTGACTTTTTATAATTGACTCAATGTTGAGTCACATTATATTAGTATTACGAAACATTTCATTAATTTTTTTTTTTTTTTTTTTTAGATTCAGACACAGTGAGCTTTGATGGCCACAGCAGCCTTTTCTTCAGGTTGAATCCAAGGATGATGCAGGCAACCACTGAAAGCATTTCTCTGAAATTTAAAACCATGAAAAACTCTGGGACACTTTTTCACACAGAAGGACCAAATGAACATGGCCTCACTCTGGCGTTAGAGAAAGGAAAACTTCTCCTTCTGCTCAGAAAAGGTACAACTCTGACACATTATTATTACTCCTGAATCTTCACAGGTAGTGGTAAGTTGCATTGGAACAATAAATAAAAGGGTTTTTGTTTGGTTTAGTTTTTGTTGCCTCACAAAGATTTTCCATGGGTTAATTGGCCAGATGTTTAGTTACTCCAAAACGTTAACATGACATTTTTTTTTAAATCTGGACATGTGACAATTAAAAAGCAGAGAAGCAGTGTTAAATATTCATGCATGTCTCTTCTTTTCTTGCAAATACAGAAACAGCATAACCACATTTACATAGTCGACAGCAGTGCAACATCTATGAGCAGTTTTGTTTCAATGTGGCAGCTCCACCCATTTTAATTCCAATTCAGTGAGTTTAAAAATCTCCACAGAGACAATAACTGCCTAATTTGCACCTTCGTCTGAATTAGATTTGCATTTGTTAGAGTGGGTTTGGTTCCAACCAACACATTATGGTCGCATTGCTACTTTCAGCAGCATTTCACAGAAGTCACTTAGTTCCATTCAGTTTGCCTGAAGCAGTCCGAGGTTTTTGAAGAAAGCCCCCGACTTATTAAAATGTAAGCCTTTTCTCTCCAATAGCAGAAGATTCTGTACATTTATCAAAATGTCATGGGATGGTGTGTAGGCTCACTGGCGCATAATGATGTTATCTTTGTGGCAGTAAAACATTCTGTGAAATTAATATTTTTATGGATTATTGTTCAGTCTTATGCTCTCTAGTTGGACTTTAAAGGACTGAAAAAGAAAGAAAGAAAGAAAAAAGTCAAAAACTTAATGGCTATTTAAAAAATATATATTTTTTTATGATAAGATGCATATGAAATCTTTTTAGTTTCCTAAAGTTAGTAGCTGCATATGTTATTTATCACAGTTTGACAGCAGTATTTAACAGTAGCTGTAACTACATATAAGCATAGATTCAGAGGTAGAGGTTCTCAAGTATAAAGGTGGAGCACCATCTAGTGAACTTATATAAAAATCAAAAGTATAGCTAAATCCATTACTGAGAGGAATGCATTATTTTTATATGAGAAATATGGGATTAAAATTTGTCGTTACAATGTATTCTAATGTGGCCAATTTTTCCTCTCAGAACTGCAAGTGTGAAAGTAAGTTACTGTGAGGTTATGAGAACATGTGAAAAAAATTTGGATAATAAAATTAGAAAGATTTTTAGGTTTTGTCAGAAATAATCAAGTTTATTGACCACCAAAATAAATAAATAAAGACAGACAAAAAATGGGTGGCTGACTTTTTCCCAAAAGACAATAAAAGGGTTAACATACATGGCAACTTTTGTCAAGATTTGTATGATGCAATCATTTCAGTTGTGATTTTATGAAAACACATTTAGTTGTTGAAGAAAATATGATATGAGGACAAGTCTTGCAGGTGAATGATATTTTTACAGATACTAAACTGCACAAAGTCAATATTTTGCGATGCATTGCTGTCTGCATAAATCCATGCCTGTTTTCTTTTTTTAAATCATCTTTTATCAATTTCATTTGTTGTTTGTGTATATATTCATTCCTGTCATAAACTTTGGCCTCCTTATCTGACAAAAAAGTTAAGTTTGATGTTTTAATTTTGCAATCATTTTTATCAGTGATTGAAGTTCTAAATTCAAATATGGCAAATGGACTGTACTTATATAGCATCTTTCTATCTTATCAAGACACTCAAAACGCTTTTCACTACAATGTGTGTCCTCATTTACCCATTCATACAGCGCTCTATGAGATCTCTACAAAGCTAATTGAACAAATCATTCTAAAGAGACTAATCAGAGCTTTATCACATTCATACACTGATGATAGGACACACATCAGAGGCAATGAGGGGTTCATGTCTTGCCCAGGGACACTTCGACATGTGACAGCTCGTGGATTTGAACCCCCAACTCTTGCATTGGAGGACGACTGCTCTAACCACTCAACCACAACTTCTCTATCATCAAGAAAAAATATCAAGAAAAAAAAATCAAAATGTGTGGGTCGGAGCATAGGGTGTCAGAGTGCTTTAAAAAGACACATTGACTCCTTTTTCTGTTTTTTTTTTTTTTTTTGTAAATATGAGTTATTCTTTACAGGTTTTTGTTTCGGTCATTTTTTTAGATACACATTCTGACAAAACAATCCCAGTCTCAATAGTTGTACTACATCCCTCATGTTTTTATATTTTTGCCTACTTTCTGTGAGCGACATTCTCATTTTTATTCTACTCATGTCATTTTTATGCTTATTTTTGTGCAATCTTCCTCCACTTTGTCACCTTCTAATCTCTGTTATCTAGAGCTGCCTCAGCTCCTAAAGATGGATATTAGAAATGCTAATTGCATCCAGTTTGTTCATGTAGCTGCTAACACAGTCAACGCTGAACTCCCTGCAGCACATGTAAACAAACTCAAATCAGCACATCCAGATTAACATCTTCCCTCATTTCTGTGCAGCTGTTGGTGACTCCTCATAAATTCAGACCTGAGAGTATCTTGAGGGACTTTTATACTTGCTGTGACCTAAAGCAGGGTCAGAAGCCAGGTTACCTAAAATCTTATGTGTCTGACTGTAAACTAATGTAAACCCAAGCATAAGTGCTGACATATTGGTTCAAGGATGTCAATGTTTGTAAACCTCTAATTACTTAATTAATCCACGTTATTTTTCACGCAGCCTTTCCACCAAAGTTAAATAGGTCTTGTTATGAAAAGAGAGAACATTAGTGTATTTATTTGACCCATAATCTGGCCAATGTCTGCACAACCCTAACTATCAAGACAGTTAATTTCATGGCCAGAGTCGCTGCAGGGTCCTGCCTCTAGTTTCATCTGACAAACATGTTTTTGTTTGGATGTAAACAGCAAAAACTCACTAGTAATGTGCACACGTAAACATTTAGTACTAAAAAGCTGATGTGCATGCATGCAGGCTGCTGTCTTTTTATCCGAGACAGGAAGTCATTAGCGAGTGCACCGTGCTCCTTCAGCTTGCTAGTACTGTATTTCTGGGTCAGTACAGACAAAAAATAAATAAATAAATAATTAAAAACTAGCAATTCTACCACAAAATACAAAGAAAATAATTAACACAAAAAGAAATTATAAAAAAAAAAAATAATAATAAACTCCATGTCTAAAGAGCAGAAAACAGGAATTGTCATGGTTTGAGGTTAGGAGCGAACCCAGAGAGCAGAACAGGGACTCAACTCGGCAGAAATACAAAAGTAGGATTTTAATGGTAAATAAAAGTACAAAATAAACAAGCTGACGGGGCAGCAAAACTTACATGGACATAGGAAGGAGGCACGGGGAACTCAGGAGACACGAGAGACACGGGGAACTCGAGGAACCAGGAAGACTCAGGGAAAGACTCAGGAGACCCAAAGAAGAGTAACCAACGAAGACGACCCGACGAAGAACAAGACAGAATAGGACGGCTTAAATACAGGGAGAAGACGAGACATGATAACAAACAGCTGGGACGAGACACAGGTGGCACTAATGGAACTAATGAGGGAGCACGAGGGCAACAGACACAAACCGGGCCACAGAAAAGTACCATCCTTACAGGAATATGTTTGACCGAATACAAAACCTTATTTTCAGCTAGCTATTCTGGAGGGACATCACAAAACTCTGGACTGGAATAAAAAATAAAAAAATAAAAACCTCCTCAAATAATCATTTTGGGAAAGGCCTTCATTTTTATTTTTTCAAAAAATTGACGAAAAATATTTTGTGAATTTTAAAAGTACGGAGCCCCAGAGGGGACGTAAGGGATTTTTTATTTTTTTATTTTGCGTTCCCACGCAAACGTTTTGCGTTTCCTCGCAATACTGTACTGTGTGTAGTGGTACCTCACAGACAACAACAGACACCCGTATTTGAGGTTCATGGAGTTTGTGACTTGGTGCTATATAAATAAACTGAATTGAATTGAATTTTGAAATCAGCCTTAAATATAAGGATATCCAGCGTGTGCTGCAGTGGTAAAATTAGTTTTATGTTGGATATTTCATGTTCATTCTCCGTGGATTCAGCGGTGGCTTCCTTGTTCGAGCAGACGCAGACAGTCTGATTTCAGTCAGCTGCTCTGTCTGTCCCTCGAGGAGTGATGGTTCGCTTGGGGACCGTCAACAAATTACCGTATTTTCAGAGTATTTGTCAAAGCAGCACTATGTATCATAACTAACATTTTCTCAGTATATTTCTGCATGGTAATAAATCATGAATTTTCTCACTATTTAAAATCCAAAAGAACAAGGTGGCACTTGCATTTCAAAAGTACTGTAACTTTCTTTTAAAGCATCAAAGTTCATGCTCAATCAGCCAGGTACAAAATACAATAATGGTCAGTCACGTCATCTGGACAGTTTCTTTGTTTTTGGAAAGACCCTCTATTCGGAGGGCTTCATCAGACACCAGCAAAACCAGTAAACTGGTTGATCCACTAAAGGAGTGTACAGCTTAGTGGGGAAAACAGTTTACTTGGGACTCTTCAGACTTATGAAGCCCTCTGGAAGTGTGTGCTTAGTGTGTTTTAGTGAATGTTTTTCTTAGTTCATATCTTGGATCTCATTACTGTTTTTTCTTTAACACACATTTTAATACTTTTCTTGGATGTAACTGGGACCCTGTGTACACAGTTTCGTTCCACCACATGCACCACCTCTGGTGCGAATGACATATAAATAATACTGAATCTTTGAGTCCTTGAATTCTTGAATGAACTTTGAAGCTTTAAAAGAAAGTTACAGTACTTTTGAAATGCAAGTGCCACCTTGTTCTTTTGGATTTTAAATAGTGAGAAAATTCACGATTTATTACCATGCAGAAATATACTGGGAAAACTTATGATACATGGTGCTGCTTTGACAAATACTCTGGAAATATATCTAAAATATTATACCAGTGTTCAGACCAAGCTCATTAGACCAGTAATTTGTTGACGGTCCCTAAGAGAACCTCCTCAGACTGCCTGCGTCGGCTCAAACGAAGCCACAGCTGAATCCACGGAGCATGAACGTGAAATATCCAACGTAAAACTAATTTTACCACTGCAGCACATGCTGGATATCCTTATATTTAAGGCTGATTTCAAAACAAAACTCCATTAAATCATGTCATCTGGACCAGTTACTTTGAGGGAGGAACGTTTGTTGTATGTGGGGTATAACACTACATACAGTACAGTATTGCGAGGGAACGCAAAAACTTTTGCGAGGGAACATAAAAGTTTGAAAAATCCCCCACGTCCCTTCTGGGGCTCTGTATAAAATAAATGAAATGTAGAGTTTTTGTTTTTTTTGTTTTTTTTTACACTTGAACTGTAATTAAACTAAAGTAATTTAAATTTGATATTTTTTATTTTAGGCTGAGATAGCTCTAAAAGACTGACTAGTTTTTTTTGTGGGAAAAATATTATAAATAGTTTTAAACAGTTAAATAAGGTGGTTGATTTTTTTCCTAAAGAACAAGAATTGTCGTGAAAATAACGAGCAGTATGAGGGTTAAAGATATTTAGCTTAATTTTTAATATTTTCCTCCTCCTGTGAAATCTCCAAACAACAGTCTGATGAATAATTGAACAAACCTCCGTGTCCTTGTCTCTGCTCTGACTTCAGTCTCTCCTAAATATCTGACAGATCAAGGATTACTGATGGAACTCTCTAAACTCGATCCCTCTCCATCTCTATTTGTTCCCCACCATCCTATAGCAGTCAAACTTCAAACAACGTCCAATTTAAATTTACTTAGTCACTGAAAAATAATGGTTTTATTAGATAGGATCCCCAGAAGAACCATGTGGCACTCCTTTAACAGCTTACACCTAAAACCAGTTCTTACTACTGATGGAGTAACATTTCTTGATATGCAGGTGAAAATATTACAAATCAAATTCAGTATTTGATATCAGCGATTCCCATGCAACATATTTGATCAAATAACGTTTCATTCCCTGTATGAAGATCATCATCATCATGCTCTTCTTCTTCCTTCCCTGCAGGTCGCAGTTTGTCCCTGAACACCCAGCACGTCGTGTCTCTTGGCAGCCTGTTGGATGACCAGTATTGGCACCAGGTTGCAGTGGAGATTCACAGAGGTCACCTCAACCTCACTGTGGACAAAAGCACTACGTGGGTGGAAATCCCACCTTGGTTTGGCTTCTGGGATCATGATCAGGTGTTTTTTTCTGTCTGTGTTTTCACGTTCCAACATTTGCAGCACTGCATTTTTTTGTGTTCACGTTTTTATGCTGTTTTCTTGGTGCGCAGGTGAACGTGGGAGCAGGCCAGGACCTCAAATCTCAGAGATCAAACAGAAATTTCCACGGATGTCTGGAAAACCTTATTTATCACGGCTTGAACTTGGTAGCTCTTACTAAACAGGAGGACCAGCGGGTTACTGTGAAGGTAAACTGGCTCAGTTCTGAAAACTACATAATTTCTGCTCCCACCAAAGTTCAGTATTTTAACTGGACATGCACATACATAATATATTTTTAACATTTTTTGAAAATCTTTCAAATATTTTTGTATCCACCGCATATATTATACAGTATATTACTGTAAGAATCAGCGTGGCAGTTATCTCCTATCCGAACATTCATGAGAAGCTTTCAAAAGAGATCCAAACTGATTTGGTGTCATTTTTTAGTGAAGTGTAGGGCACAGGTGAGAGAGAGTACACTTATATTTCAGTTTCAGCCTCAGTCAGTTCAGCCTGATTATTTTCCCTCACGGCAGTAATTGGCAACATTTAATTTAAAACTTTTATTTTATTTTTTGGTCATATTTGATGGTTGCTGCGGTGGTATGAACAAACTGTACAGTAGTCCCTTGTTTATCGCGGGGGATCCGTACCCTGAAGCCCCACGATAAGTGAAAAACTGCAACGTAGGAATAGTAGTACAAGTAGTAAGTAGTAGTTTATATATATATATATATATATATATATATATATATATATATATGTATATATGTAAACGTATAATATATATATATTATTAATATATATATATATAAATAAAGTATTTTTGAATTGAATTAAATTTTTGAATATATATATGTGTGTGTATAAAGGCATTTTAAATCCTTCCCACACTCTTGCAATATTCTAAACAATATTTCTAAATGCTCTTAAAAAGCACAGCATGTCATAGCTCTCTGCCACGGCTGCACTCTCGGCCCTGTCCGCTTCTGCTCTTCACGAAGATCAGCTGATCAGCTGCAGGAGGAAGTTATCCCACAGCTATGGGCTGCAAACAGGTGCTAAATAATTTAAAATAATTTGTTTTAAATAAAAAAAAAATCCATGCAGATTGTTTGGCTCATCCATCAATCAGCAATTATATGTGTCATGCCCATTCTTGCTTTGAAAAACCGCGATAGAGCGAGTGACTACTGTGTAGCAAAATGTGGTGGAGATGATTTTGTGCATAGTGGGTTATGGGTTCCAGATAAGACAAAAACATCTATTAACATAAAACAAAATATTCAACATAAATGCTGTAGAAGCATATTTTGAAATAAATAGTTTATTTATTTATTTGAAAAATTGCAGTAGGGTAATAAAATATTGTGTCCAGCCTGCATTACTTTGTATTTATTTTTAAAACTCCAAAAAGAGCGTTTAGATTTGATCAAGAGTCTATGAGTTGCATGCTGATGTAAAGAAATAAACCTTGTGTTCCCACTGGGGAGTCTTAATGCAACACGTTACTCTGCAGCCCCAGCAGTGTCTCCTCCCTGACTCCCTCTGTGATCTTAAAAAGCTTTTGGCTGCTGCTGGTGCTTTCACTTTGATTTGGTGCTCATTCTAATCCTTGCTATCATCATCATGCTAATGCTCTCACACTTTTAAAGTCAATTTATGAGATTTCTACACATCAGAGTGACTCAAAATAAAATCATGTTCATGTTTTCATCCTGTAGCCGTAATAATATATTTTTTTATCCCGTTCATTCATCTGTCTCAGGGCGAAGTGACCTTTTCCTGCACTGAACCTGTTTTTGTTGCCATGACATTCACTGGCCACCAGAGCTTTTTGAGGTTACCAGGAGGCACAGGTCCATCAGTGGGCACGTCAGTGGGACTTCAGTTTCGAACGTGGGATAGAGAAGGGCTGCTGCTGACCTTTGAGCTCTCAAAGCAAGAAGGAACAGTTTGGCTGCACCTGAGCGAAGCCAGTCTTCACCTACAGATCCACAAACCTGGCAGGATGCCCCTGGAACTAAAAGCAGGTCAGTCTGAACCCAACATCCCCCACCCACCCCCTGCACCCAGCTACCACCCTATCATAAGAGTATTAAGATTATTTTGCTAAAATCAGTTTGAACTAATGTCACTAATCACCATCTTAATTTAGAAGACTTTACAACAGGAGTTTACATTTTTCCAAAGTAGCAATAAAACAGATGTTTGTCCTTGTTGTTCGTTTATTTGTTTTCTCTACCTTTTATAAGCACAACAAGCTTTCTAACATTTAGAAACCAAAAGGAACACATAATGATGATAATAATGATAATAATAATAATGATACTAATAATACAGTATACATAATACTTTATCATACTATTGCTTGAATGCTACGCTCAAACTAAATTAATAAAAATGTACAAATTAGGTTTGTCAGCATCACCTGCAATATGATGAGCAGCCATGAAATATGATATGTGATAATTCTTCAAATGAAAAAGTGATTGTCTGAGTTCTTTACTTCTCTGAGTTACTTTTTTTTTATAGCTGAGCCTGTCCTCCACAGAGTAGAGCAGTTATAGTATGATTTCTCTCTGAAATAAGAAACTAAGGATGTATCTTGTTAAAGTTCAAGATTGTAAATTATGAATCTGGTTAATTGGTCTCTCAACGCACTTGATAAAATAAAATAATAAAATAAAACTTCTCCTGGTTGTTTATGTGAATGAGAAGCTCTGCTTCCCCCCCCCTCCCCCCATTGCTCCCCTCCCGAGGACATCTGCAGAGCTGTGTCAGAGTGAACCGGCTGATAGACACTGTGCCCTCTTTAACAGGACTATGGAACTTTCTGGCAGTGTTCACGGACAATCTCACTGCCTTCGTCGGCCTCCTCATGCATCAATACAATACAATACAATACAATAACTTTATTTATAAAGCACTACAAAACAACACCGCTGGCCAAAGTGCTGTACACTAACACAAACAAGCATAAAACCATAAAATCAACCAAAACCGTAAACGTAATGAACTACCAAACCATAAAACAGCAAACAGTAAAAACAATAAAACAAATAACTTAAAAACAGTAAAACCAATATTTCAAGCTGAGTTTTATTTTTTCACCATAATTCAGCTTGTTTTAGGTAAAAAAATAGTTTAGGTTTAGGAAATGTTAGCTTTTATTTATTTTTATTACACGGGGCTGATAAATGTCTGTGTGCAAACTCAGGTTGGAGCCTAAGTGATGGCCAGTGGCACTCAGTGGATCTGACGTCAGGAGCAGAACATTTGAGCGTCACAGTAGATGGAAATGAAGGAACAACTGCTAAAGCCAGTCCTTCATATCAGGTCACACCAGGAAGTCAACTTTTCTTTGGTGGTAAGAAAGATAAATACAAGTTTTGCATCACTGTGACTGTTTCAAAAGTTGATGAGGTTTTATTTGTCATGTTGTGCAGGATCCAGCTGTTTCAGGCTTGAACACTCTTACTTCGCAAATATTTCCTTTAAAAAAAGTGTTGGCTTTTAACAATGTTCTTAACCTTTCTTGGAGTTTGCATGTTTTCTGTTGGATAAAAATATCCTCTATTCATCTTATTTACTAAAACAAGCCACACAAGCTCAATCAGAACATGCATGCATGCTTTCCTCTGCAGTTCACTTGTTGTGTTGTGTGTTTTTGTGCAGGTTGTCCTGCAGACAACAGCACCTTGGAGTGCACAAATCCTTTCAGAGCTTTCCAAGGCTGCCTGCGCCTGCTGACCATTAACAACCAGCCGGTGGATTTAGTCAAAGTGCAGCAGAGGAGGATGGGAGATTACAGTAACCTTCAGATTGATATGTGCGGCATTATTGACAGGTCAGACTAAAAAGTATAGCATTTATATATATATATATATATATATATATATATACAACCTGACACATTATTGTTGTTGTTTTTTTAACCTTTATTTTTAAATCAAAGCTGTGCTTGCATGCATTATTTCATGTGTCCAATTTTACATTAACAGTGTGAACAAAAATGATCATTTGTCAGATTTTAATTCTAATTTTCTCAATTTTAAGGCTTAACATTTCCACATGTGTAATGCAGACATGAAAACAAGGAGGAATGTGGTGATGATTTTTCAGTCTAAGTGGTTCTCAGAATATGTCCTCACAAGAACATCACCATTTCTTATCAGTAACTTTAATTAGACAAAATCAATGAAACAATGTTTCTGTTATCTGGTACTGTGGAAATGAGAGCTCCCTAAATGTATTTTTTTTTTCTTCCTACATTGGTGAAAATGTCAAGACAAGCTCTCTGTGAGTTTACAGTTTATTTATTTATTTTTTTACTGATACGCATCACTCTTAGTACATGACATTTTTGTAAACCAATACAACAGAGGTGCGTGTTGTAGATATTTTCTACAGAGTTGCTTTTGTTTGAATGAAATGTCAAATGGAATGATGGATTCAAACTTGGTCAACCTCTCACCTCCAACCCACAAAGTTATGAGATCAGCTGTGAAATCAATATTCATTGAATTAATCTGTGACTTGACCCCTTGGGCCATGAAAATACTTGCAACACGTGCATGTTTATAGATAAAGCAGACTATATTACTTAGAAAAAATAAAATGCATATACTCAAAATTTAAAGTTAAGCTAAATTTACATAAAAAGACAAAAAAAGATAAAGATATCTAAAAACAAGATGTGCAAAAGCCTTCCTAAAAGGAATTTCCAGTATCATTACATCATTAACTACAGTTGCGTAAAAAAAATAAAATCAGCTTATTTTTCCCTCCATTTCAGGCACAATTTTTCTTATTTCTTTACTTTTCTCAGATGTTCTCCACATCATTGTGAACACGGAGGCAGCTGCAGTCAGTTGTGGAGCACCTTTCACTGTAACTGCTCCGGCACCGGCTACAGCGGAGCCACATGTCACAGCTGTAAGAAAAGGTTTTATTGTTGCACAGAGATCACGTGTGCATGATGGTTGCACCTTCAGCTTTTACTCCGTTTGTTTTGCACTAACACTCTATATTACATTGCATCTTTTGGTGACCCCTAGTTTGCTCAAACACATCACAAAAATATTTCACATTATGTGCACCATACCATTTTATCATTTTAGTGTACCTAAAGGTATGACCAATAGAACTTGAAGTTGGAGTCAAATAATATAAACAGAAGTGATTGCTACAGCTTTTTCTTTTCTCCTCAGCAATTTATGAACAGTCCTGTGAAGCATACAAACATAAAGGGAACACATCAGGGCATTATTACATCGATGTGGATGGCAGTGGACCCATCAAACCTCAGATGGTATTCTGTAACATGACAGGTAAAACACACACATCAAAACACAACATGCAGACTCCCTGGTATTCTCTTTTCCTTTCAACCCGCCACCATTTCTGCCAACCTCAAGGTCGCAAGCATAAAAGTAATATTCTCATACAATTATTTTTACAAACAGAGGACAAGACGTGGATGGTGATCCAACACAACAACACAGAACTCACCAAAATCCATCAATCGCCAGAAGGAAGTCACTATTCGACTACCTTTAAATATGCAGCAGACGAGGAGCAGCTTTTAGCAATCATCAGCCAATCGGAGCACTGCGAACAAGAAGTGGAATACCACTGCAGGAAGTCATGTCTCTTCAACACATCAGGTGAGGCTTCTAGAAACATTAAGGCTTTTTTTTTTTACGTAAAAGCATTCATGCTCTGATGGAACAAAACCTTAACTCAGATAATTGATCCATTGAATCATTAACTACTGTACCTCAGATAAACAAAAACAGACAATCTGCATAAGGTTAAGAAAGAATAAACACAACATACTGTATACTTTTTTGAATTCATCATGTCCTGGATGACTGAGAATCTTCAACAGAACATACTGTATACATTTTTCTTTTGTACATTCATCTTTTTTACCTAAGGTTTTGATACATCCATCCATCCAGCCACCCACTTCCTCTCTGGGGTGACAGGAGTTGCTGTTGTCTATCTCCAGCAGTCATTGTACATGAGGTGGGGTACACCCCCCTGAACATAAGAGGATCTGCAGTGGAAGTGGTCTCCAGCTACAAGTATTTGGGTGTACACATGAATGACAACCTCAGCTGGAGCAACAACACCACCAGCCTGATCAAGAAAGCTCATCAGAGACTCTACTTCCTCAGGCGGCTGAGACGAGCTGGTCTGGGAAGCTCAGTCCTCACCTCCTTCTACAGGTGTGCAGTGGAGAGCATCCTGTGCTCCAGCATCAACGTGTGGCATGGAGGCTGCACAGCTGCAGAAAGAAAAGTTTTGCAGAGAGTGGTGAAGGCTGCACAGAAGTCTGTTGGAGTCAGCCTCCCCACCATCACAGACATTTACGCTTCCAGATGCAGGAAGAGAGCCACCTGCATCATGAAGGACCCCACTCACCCAGCACACACACTTTTTGCCCCACTCCCCTCAGGAAGGAGGTTGAAGAGCATTAAGTGTAGAACCACTAGACTGAGGAACAGCTTCTACCCTGAGGCTGTTAGACTCATGAATCTCTAACCAGAATAATCACTGTGAAAAAAATCACATCATGTTGCTGCTGATCTGTTTCCTGTTGATGTGTTCATGCGTGCACATCTGCTCACACAGACTCATGTTCATGTTTGTGCTGCTGTTTGACATAATGTTTTTATGCTAGTAGTGCTTACTGTATTTTTAGATGATGTTTTTCTTAGTTCATATCTTAGATGTTATCATTGTTTTTCTTATACATTTTATTGTTGGATGTAACTGGGACTCTGTGTGCATAATTTCGCTCCACCACATGTACCACATGGGGTGCGAATGACAATAAAGAATCTCTGACTCTGAATCTCTGACTCTGACAACGGACAGGTCTCAAAGTTCGTCACAGGGCAATCAATACAAACAACCACTCACACTCATATAGAGACAGTTTGTCATTATTTGAATTGATGTAGTTGAACATTATCTTTAATGTTTTGGTAAAAATGACTGTAAGTAACCTGCAGTTACTCAAAGATGCACAATTTCAATAAAGTTTTTGAACATTACCCACTATGGTTTACCAGAATGCAAGCTTTTAAAATATTTTATTTTGCAGCATTGTGTGTCATGTGCTTTTTCTAATTATGTGTTTTTCTATTCCCTTTTTAAAATGAGATTGTGGGATGATAAACCCAATCCCATTTCTGGTTGTATCATCCAGTTAAAGGGCTGTAAATATGAGACAATGTTCATCGATCACAGCTATTTTGTGTTCACCTCTGTCCTACATAAACTAGTGTAAGAGACATGCAATTTATCTCCCACATCTCTGATTTTTCATGTTCATATTAAAATGGATACAGGGATTGTGGTAGCTTGGTGGTCAGTGCAGTGGTCTTGTAAGCCTGAGGTTGCAGGTTCAGGCCCAGGTTGAGTCAGGAAGGGCGTGCAGTGTAAAACAATATTGCCAAATCTTTCATGAAAGTTCACTCACTGCAGCAGCTCCTGAAGAAGGGCGCTGCTGAAATAAACACTACATTAGGATGGATACAGGGAAGGTTGTGTTTTTTTAATCTTGTGAACAGTCTGTGTTTGAATCTTTCAGAGCATCATTTGAGCAGAGTCAACACCAAACACAAGCATACAGTATATAATAATAATAATAAGAAGAGAAATAAAGAAGAATTAGAATAAAAGCTTAGATCTGGTGTGAGTGTACTGTCTAATATTAATAGACATTTGTGTTTCAGAAGGTTTTCCACTCAGCTGGTGGGTTGGAGGTCCAGATACAGGACAAAAGCAGACTTACTGGGATGGGGCTCTTCCAGGCAGTCAACAGTGTACCTGCAGTCTGGAGGAGAACTATACTGATCCCAAACAGCACTGTGACTGTGACGTTGACAGCTCTGCATGGTATGGTATTCATTCTCCTGCTACTGAGTATTCTGGTACTTACTCTTCTTCTCATGAGTTGTCTTTTTTCTATTTGCCAATTCTATTCTCCTCATAAATGGGACATCATCTCGAAATTCTGTTTATTTGTTTTTCTTTGTTCTCCTTTCTGTTTGTTTACCTTCCAGGGTTAATGACTCTGGTTTATTGACCCATAAGGAGTCACTTCCTGTCAGATCTCTGGTGCTGGGAGATATCCAAAGGCCTGGATCAGAAAGTGCATACAAGGTGGGACCTCTCCGTTGCCATGGAGACAGTAAGTTCAAGCCAAACCTTGAACATGATATGACCATGTGAAAAGGGTTGTGACTATATAATAATCTAATTGTAGTTATTCCTTATTTTATATATTTGTTGATGCATGTTGCAGAAAATATCTGGAATGCTGCACTTTTCAATGAGGAGACGTCATATCTCCATTTCCCCACATTTCACCGAGAGCTAAGTTCAGACTTCTCCTTCCTGTTTAAAACCACATCATCCTCTGGTGTCTTCCTGGAAAACTTGGGCATCAGAGATTTCCTCCGCATTGAACTCAGCTGTGAGTAAAACCTGCAAGATCAGCCTCCAGACTTTACTATGAAGTGAGTACACTTTGAGCAGGTAGAATCATCCAAGTTTCACCAGGATTAAACTCAGCAGGAGGTGAGAATATATCTTTTCCCTCCTCTAGCTCCGTCATTTATTTGGCCTTTTCTAGAAAAATCCCAGCAGTTCTGTTGTTGCATTTCATTGTTTCTCATTTAAACCGTTATCACTACAATTCACTAAAACACTTTATTATAGTTTAAGTTTATTTCATAACTCTTTTAATTTTCAAGGAATATTCTCATTGGCGCCAGCAATGGGTTCTTTTTCCATCTTTGGACGATAAAGTTCTTACTGGGAATATGAACTTTAGAGTTAAATTAGCACCATAAAAAGTGTTTTACAAGTTTAAAAATAAAAACTTATGCAGATGTAGAAACACTTCTTAGCTCCCTTACCCCTCATTAAAACAATGCTTCATTTCTTGTAAAAACTGTTTCCTAAATGTAAAATGTATATTTGAAAATCTATAGTATGTGATATAGTAAACAAAATAAAAAAAACTTTATTTGAACATTTCTACCAAGATTTGCTAAAGCATTAAACACAGATTTGTTGGTACTGTTAAATAGATCATTATTCTTTGCATTATAGTCAGGTTTCAAGCCAAGTGTTTGATTGTAATACATTTTTTAGAGGTCTTCAAGTAGTTCATCAGCCATTCAGTCTATTCAAACACTGAACATGAAGCAGACAAAGCAAAGGTGGGAGCTGTCTGAGGAGCTCACATAGATCATAGATATCCATGTTGAAAGTTGCGGCTACAAGATTGTAGTAGAACTGTAAAAAGTGTAGAGTTCATTGGGCTCTCAGTGGTCGATGCTGTGCTCCTGTAATGCTGACACTTCAGGTTCCAGCCTGTTGCTTCAGGAAGGGTAATCAGCGTAAAAACTGTTGTCAAAGTTATTATGTGAGTTCACTCACTGTGGCCACCACTGCAGAAGGGAGGACTCCTAGCAACAAAAAAAAAAAGGCTCACGGGACTGTAGCCAACATCCCAGAATCTGGACGCAAAAGTAATTGCAGCCCCGGGAGGATTAGATGGATGGTAGAAAAGATGAAACAAAACCATTAAAAAAATGTTCAAACTAAACTCCAAGGTATCACGGGTGGTGGCGTTAGACCCAAGTGCAGGCAGACATGGGGAACATGACGTAAAGTAAAACTTGATTTATCAAAAACAAAGGGCTGACAAGGCAGTGACAATTGACAGAAAACAGGAGGGGAAAGCACAGGGAGGAACTAGGAGACATCTGACAGGTTTGCAGAATATTGGGCTGATGGCAACAAGGGAATGTTTAAATAACAAGCTGTGTGAGTGAACATGGAAACTCCTGGGCTGAACACTGATTGGAGACAGGTGAATTCAATTCCATTCAATTCAATTCAAAAACTTTATTTATCCCCAGGGGGGCAATTAAAAGAGGCATGTAGAGCATACATAAAACAATACAAAATAAAAACACATAATAGAAGAAAGTCCAATATGCATTAGCAAGGTGCAAATGGGCAATGAGGTAAATGAGTCCTTTTTGCAACTAAAGTCCTGTGGAATGGGGCGATATATGTGTATGAGGGGTGGGCATATACGGTGTGAATGTATATGTGTATGGAGAGGGGATGTGTATCTGTATGTGTATGTATGAATATTTAAAAAAAAAACAGGACTATTTGTTTAAGAGTTGGACAGCCCTGGGCACAAAGGTAGCTCTTCTCCTCTGTGTCCTGCAGGCAGGGCAGCGGAGCCAGTGACCCGATGGAAACCACTCAAATGATGAGAAGAGGACATGTGAAGGGTCCTTTATGATCCGGTTCGCTAACCTGCATGTTAAGTGTTCATAGACAACAGACGGGGTCCTATGGGTATATCCAATAATTTTAGGACAGTGACAGTCTTCTGCAGGCGGATTATGTTCTGGAGGCTGGTAAAATGAAACCAGCAGGTTATGGAGAAGATGATGATGCTCTCAATGAAGGAGTAGTAAAATGCCCCGAGAGTGATCTTACTTACTCCAAAGGAGTTGAGCTTTCTAAGGCGGTATTGCCTCTGGTGACACTTTCTGAGGATCTCCTCCGTGTTGGCGGAGAATTTCAGCAGATTGTCAAAGATAATACCCAGATATTTGTACTCCTCCACAAGGTCAACAAGCTCTTCATGGATATACAGTATGGGGTGACTGCTGTGGCCATGCCCTCTGTTGATTGGAAAAAGTCACCACCATATCTTTGGTCTTATTGATGTTCAGCTCCAGACAAGAGCTGTCACACCAGTCCACAAACTCCTGTAGAGCTGATCCATGATGCTGTGAGGGGCCTAACAACAAAAACAGAAGAACTGTGTCATCAGCATATTTCACCAGGTAAGAGTTGGGCTGTGTAGATCTACAATCATCAGTGTAGAGGATGAAGAGCAGCAGAGAGAGGACAGAGCCCTGTGGAGAGCCAGTGGAGGTGTAAAGTCAGAGAAATTTGAGTTAATCAGCACTCTTTGTGATCTGTGGGTTAAAAAGTCCAGCAACCACAGGATGAGCTGGTCATCCAGGTGAAAGTGGGAGGAGAGTTTATTGGCCAAGATGTGAGGTTGAAGGGTGTTGAATGCAGAGGAGAAATCTGCAAACAATAGTCTGAGTGAGGGCTTGGGTAGTTCAAGGTGTCTGTGTACAGTGTCCAGGATGAATATTTTGGCATGATCAACACCTCTTCTCGTGCGTTATGCAAATTGGAGGGTATCAGTCAGAAAGTTTGTTGCTCGAATGACATGCTGCAATAAAAACATCAACTAAATATACACTAAGCACTAATAGCATAAAAACATCACGTCGAACATCAGCACAAACCTGAACACGAGTCTGTGTGAACAGATGAGCACGCATGAACACACCAACATTGAAACAGATCAGCAGTGACATTGAACCAGATCAGCAGCAACATGAA